CATGCGTGAAATTTGTCCTAGATTATACTGTAGGACACAATTTTCAATTAAACTTAAGTTCACTATGTCACTGGAGCCTCCATAGTAGCACTTTTTGTTAGAAAGAGCTGTTATATATGACACATCGCACTTAAGCTTGATCGAAGCGCCTCAATACAAACACCAAGTTATGTTTTGCTGGTTCTGGGACACAATCGGTCAAAAGCCATCGTACTTAAAGGAGTTTTGGTCTTTTTTTTCTAAGGACAAAAGTTGTTGGGGTTAAATTTATCGAGTTTCATTCCCTTTATGGCAAAGTAGAGATCCTCCGTCACGAAACCTTCGTCGACGCACCGTGAGGGAACACAAGCACTTTGTGCAACTTGAGTGTAACCACTACAAGGTACCGTCACGGGGTCACTTATCGAATGATGTGTGCGCTGCAAGTCCGCGCACTGCGCAGCGCAGAGCAGCTCCAGCTGATCGTTGAAAGGGATTTGCTCGTTGACATGTGTCCCTGCAGTACCAAGTGTACTACCAACTGGGGAGGGACACCCAGTCCAGCCAAAACAGGCAACGTCACATGCACGCCTGCGTCAGCCGGCGACTGGATACCGTATGAACAGCGAGATCTGCTGCTGATCAGACCTCGGCCTAAGCTTGTCATTCTGCATTTTGCTCGCTCCAGATCAACTAGGACCCCGCAAGACCACCATGCAACGCCACCTCCTGCGTCGCCTGCCCCGCACCATTGCCCGCAGCCCTGCCGCTTCCACAACCGCCAAGGCCGCGTTACTGTCGCGTAACTTCTCCACGAATGTGCAGGTGCAGCAGACCAACCTGTTCATCAACAACAAGTTCACGCCGTCGTCGTCCGGTGCCACCTTCGACACCATCAATCCTGCTACGGAGGAGAAGATTGCGTCTGTGGCTGAGGCCACCACTGCCGATGTCGACGCCGCTGTGGAGGCTGCTCGTGCTGCTTTCAATGGCCCGTGGCGCACCATTGACGCTGCCGAGCGTGGGCGTCTGCTCAACCGCCTTGCGGACCTCATTGAGCAGAACGGTGACGAGCTGGCCGAGCTTGAGGCGCTGGACTCTGGCAAGCCGCGCTTCTTGACTCGCGTCCTGGACGTGCAGGCGTGTATCAACGTGCTCCGTTACTACGCCGGTTGGGCCGACAAGGTGCACGGCAGCACAATCCCCATCCCGGGTAACTACTTATGCTACACTAAGCAGGAGCCAGTGGGGGTTTGCGGCCAAATTATCCCATGGAACTTCCCGTTAATCATGATGTCCTGGAAGCTTGGACCCGCGCTTACTACCGGTAACACGGTGGTACTTAAACCTGCCGAACAGACTTCGCTGACGGCTCTGCGTGTCTGTGAGCTCATCGTCGAGGCTGGCTTCCCTGAAGGTGTGGTGAACGTTGTGACGGGCGGCGGTGCCTCCGTTGGCGCCCACCTCGCGCAGCACCCGAAGGTGGACAAGATCGCATTCACGGGATCCACCGAGACGGGCATGAATATCATGCGCACGTCACACGTGGACAACCTCAAGCGTATCACTCTTGAGCTCGGCGGTAAGTCCGCCAACATTATTCTGGACGACGCCGACATCGACGCCGCCATCCAGCAGTCACAGATTGGCCTGTTCCTCAACGCCGGACAGGTGTGTATCTCCGGTAGCCGCGTCTACGTGCAGGAGGGAATTTACGATGAGTTTGTGCGTCGTTCGGGTGAGGCCGCCTCGTCCATGAAGATTGGCGACCCGTTCGACTTGTCCGTTCAGCACGGCCCGCAGGTTGATGCCAACCAGTTCAACAAGATCTTGGGTTACATTGAATCTGGCAAGAAGGACGGCGCTCGTCTGGTTTGCGGTGGCAAGCGCTGGGGCGACAAAGGCTTCTACATTGAGCCGACGGTGTTTGCCGATGTGACGGAGGACATGGCTATCGCCCGTGAGGAAATCTTTGGCCCCGTTATGTCGATCATCAAGTTTAAGACCATTGACGAGGTCATTGAACGTGCTAACAACTCGGAATTCGGCCTGGGTGCCGGTGTTGTTACGTCCAACTTGGACAACGCCATCAAGATCTCCAACGGTGTCCGTGCCGGCACCGTGTACGTGAACTGCTACACGGTGATTGAGCCCAACACGCCGTTCGGAGGCTTCAAGAACTCGGGCATCGGCCGTGAGCAGGGCGAGCTGGGTCTGCGCAACTACCTTGAGAACAAGACGGTGATCATCAAGCGCCCTGACGACTCCATGCCTTAAGCTGGTAGATATAGACCCCCATCCGTTTGACGTGGTAGCGTAAAGATATAAACAACGAGCGTCAATTTTGTTGGATTGCAATG